TTTTTTTTTTTTTTTTTTTCCTTTTTTATTGAATGGTAACTATGTACATTAATGCACTTCTGGGGTACAGTGTGGTATTTTCACACACAATCTGAAACACTTCCATCAAACTGGTTAACATAGCCATCATGTCATTTTCTTAGTTATTGTGTTAAAATGTTCATATTATACTCTTAGAAAGATTTACTTGTACCATGGTAAGATAAACCACAGACGTGATCCTTCCAATCCCCCTCCCTCCACCCATTCTCCCCTCCCCTCTCCTGCCCCCCTCCTTGTATTCTTAGGCTGTTATTAGGTTATAGCTTTCATATAAAAGGTATAAATTAATTTCATAATAGGGGTGTGTACATTGGATACCTTTTCTTCCGCTCCTGTGATTCTCCGCTAAGAACATCATCTTCCAGCTCCATCCATGAGAACATGAAGGACATAAAGTCTCTATCCCTCTCCATGGCTGCATAGTATTCCATGGCTGCATAGTATTTCATGGAGTACACATACCACAGTTTGTCGATCCATTTGTGGATTGATGGATACCCGGGCCTCCTCCAGTTTGGGGTTTTTTTAATCAAAAACTGACTCACTGCTTACAGCTTGCTTTCTCATGTGCAGCCCCATGTCCAGGCCTCTCTAAGCTGGCACTCCCAGACCCAGTGGAGAGCACCTTGTTTGATGTCTGTCTCCTCAGGGATGTGCCTCATCTCCCTCACTCAGGCACAGGCCCTTGCTTATTTCTCTCCTCTTTCCTGACCCTTGTTACTGCCCTTGTAGAGCCTGTATTCTGATCCCCTCAGACCCTGAAAAGTCTTAGTCATTGCTAACCCTGGGGGAGTTGCCTTCCCTGGAGTATTGGCTTCTTAAAAAGCAAGGACCAACGTGTTAGATGGAGAAGTGAAGGGTGGATGGGAGGCTTCATGGATCAGGAGGCAGGTGTAGATCCTTTAGGGAGTAGGTAGGCCTGGGAGGCACCCCTGGGATCCCATTGACCCTCAGCTGATCTTGACTATGAAAGCCAGCCCAGTGTCCAGCCCTGAGAGCTCAAGGCCTCTGAGTGTTCTGGTCTGGTGCCTGGCAGAAGCACTGCAGCTGATGAGGAGGGCACTGGGAGCTTAGCCCTGGGAAATCCTGAACTTAAGGCATTTGAGAAATGTAGACTTTGTTTGCAGAATACTTTTCTCTGGAATATACGTTGTATACTTTCTTTATGTGAAGATAAACCAAATGGCTTTCAGATTTTTTATTCTATAGTGGGCTTTTCCTACTTTCTTGAACTTTTTAATTGTGCTAAGTACAATGTGGCTTTTTTCTTTCTTTTTTGCTGTTGTGTGTTTTACTTTGGATGCTGTCTCTTGCAGGCACTCACTCCTATAACCATGAGGTTACTGGAGCCCCTGCTCTGCTCTGGGCCCTGTGGGTTAGTGTTGAGAGCACAGTAGGGAGAAAAGGGACAGAGATGCTTCTCCTGAGGGTCTTCAGTCTGGAACATGTCAGAACATCCAGCATAATCGTAAGATTCCTGAGAGGCTGATAGCCAGAAGGATTGTGACTAGAGCAGCAGGGATGGTCACAAATCTCCACCCACCTCCCAGCTAATCTAAGAGCTTCTCTGAGCTAATGGTGGTGTTCGATGTTGTTAATATTGAGATTAAAAAAAAAATCGGGTTTTTTTTAAATATAAAAGAATAAAAGGAAGCAAAAGTAGTCCATATCCCCAATGTCCAAATGACCCCTATTGAATTTTTTACCTAATGTTAACAGGTGTATATGATTAGAAATTTTAAACCAAATAGAAGGGAATAAAATGAAGAACCATGAATGTGCTCATGGGGGTACACATGCAGTGTCCCTACTTGTTTTAGTTCCTCAAAAATGAAATGCCAATTCCTACACATCTTTCCAGGAAAAGTCATGTTTATACTATCATGTGTAGCCTTTGAAAAGCTTTATCTGAAAGGGACCTACTGTGTGATCTGTTCTCCTTTTTTCATCCTGTTGCTATGTCTACATCATTTTGGTTGGGAATAAAAAGGCCTCAGTCTTTTCAATATCTATGTGGATTCCCTCTGTGTGCACAAACAGACCATAATTATCTAACCACTCTCCTATCAACGGACATTTAGGTTATTTCCAGCTGTTTACCGGACGGTTACATTTTAAAGGTTTGAAAATTCTCAGTAAGTGTGCCTCCCTGCCAAACACCTGATCATTGAGAAAAGCAGATCCCTTTGGAAAGTTTTTTAATTCATTTTATAGTTAATTTTTCTTTCTTTTTTTGGAAGCAGGTGGAGAAAATAAGATAACCATTGTAACAGAATGCTTACTGTTTCACTAGGCTCTAAAGGAGCTTTATATCCATAATTTCTTTTAGTTCTAAGAGGGCAGAATTACTCTCACTTTGTTTTAGACAAGGAACCTAAGGCTCAGATAGGCCCCACAGCTGGTGAAAGGTCCAACTGGGCTGGGGGTCAGACCACACTGGCTGGCCCTGGGCCCCAAGCACTTGTTTCACTTTCTGAAGTTCTGCCAGTTGTTCTGTACCTCAAAGTTCATGTGGAGCAGTGGTTCTCAACCTTCCTAATGCCTCAACCTTTTAATACAGTTCCTGTGAGTCGTGACCCACAGGTTGAGAACTGCTGATCTTGAGCTTCACGAGGGTTTTTTTCCTTCTATTGGTGTGAATTTCTTCTCATAACTTCTAACTAGGATGGATTTGCTCTGTGTTTGGCCTTGATTTTCTGTTTCAAATGTTTCGATTACCGTGTAGCATGGTCTAAAATTCCCTGGAGTAGGTGATGATGAGAGGATGTGAGTCACCTCATTTTGGGAGCCTAACCCAGGCTCAGGTCCTTCAAGAGACGAGGAGGAGGCTGCACAGGGCTGCCTTTGCTCACACAGCACAGTGCCTAAGTGTGCTTTGATGGATGCCATCTGTCAAGTCATGTATACTCAGAAGGCTCCTACCTCTGGGCTCTTGGTTGTTGACATTTGTAATACACAATCTGGGTCTCCTGGACAGTAGAATCATGGCTGAATTTATCTGTCATTTTTGTGGTTGAATAATCCAAAGTGGATAAATAAAAATTAATGTTTAGATTTAGATGCTAATTTAGCTTTCCATTGAGTTTTGTTTTGAGAGTTATTGAAATTAATCTGTGTTCCTTGAGTACATTCCACTTATTAGTAAGGTACGATGGACCCCAGAGTATAATTGGTGGTTGTTTGGGTAAAATCAGAAGATAGATAATCCATATAAAGATAATGGAAAAGTATATTTTAAAACTTTTTTTTTTTTTTTATGACAAATGATGTCTGAACATTGTCCACACTCTGGAAAGAGAAAAATACTTTCATCAAAATCCTGCCCCAAACAAATCAGTTTCTTTTGCCTTTTGCTCCATTCTAGACCTGGTCCATTTGCAGGTATATATAAATATACTCTTTAAAGAATACTAGATATGGAGCTAAGCTTGAGTCCTGGTGAAACACTGTTATTTTAGGAAGAGCTTAGGCTTTGGAGATGGGCAGGCTCCAGTTCAAATTCTGACCTGCAGGAATTCCTACAGGAATTCTTTCCTGTAATGTTGGACTTATCTCTTCTATGCCTCTATTTTCTCAACTGTAAAATGAGACTAATAATTCCTATATATCATGGTTGTTATGAAGACTGAGATACAGCAGCACGAGACAGGAACAGGTGACATAGGCTTTTAAAAATTTCCCTTTCAAGCCTCTGACTTTCCAGGGAAAATCTTCTTCCTTTGAGGTAAGCTGATCTTTGACTCATTGCTGATACTTGCCAGCCTCCCTTTCTAAAGAGAGCCAGCATTGACTACACCCCGTATACCTTGTTTTTTCTTTTTAGTTATTTATTTATATAATAACAAGGCACATGTGTGTTCCATTTCCTGTAGTCATACATGGTTTCTTTCTAAAGTCGAAATTAACAATAACGTCAGTGTGTTGTAGCTAAGACACAGTATGGGGTTTTGAATCCCAGCTCTGCCACCTCCTGTCTGTGTGACCTTGGGCAGATAGATCGTTTAATGTCTCTGAGCTTTCCTTTCTTTGTCAGGAAAATGAGGATGACACAGTAGTATCTCATGGGGTTGCTGCAATGTTAAAGTGAGATAATATAGTCAGGGCACTCCGGGCAACATCTGGCACTTAGTGCCATAAAAATGTTAATCAAAAGTGTTTTTCTTATGCAAACAATTGACACATAGGGCTATATTAGTAAAGTGCAGCATTTCTGACTTAGGACTGTGGGCAATTAATGTTACTGGGCGTTATTGTTTTGATTATTTGATAATGTGGTGTTGACAGTAGGCATAATAATAGATTAGGAAGTAGCACTTATGTTTTGGGGATTATTTCTTAGGATAGTCCAGTGCTCAGATTCACCTGTTGTCTTTGTTCGACTTCCCTAGGCTAAGCCCAGCATTCGGTGCTTCATTAAACCCACTGAGACGCTGGAGCGGTCCCTTGAGATGAATAAGCACAAGGGCAAGAGGCGGGTGCAGAAAAGACCAAACTATAAAAACGTCGGGGAAGAAGAAGATGAGGAGAAAGGGCCTGCTGAGGATGCCCAGGAAGATGCTGAGAAGGCTAAAGGTACAGAGGGTGGTTCCAAAGGCGTCAAGACGAGTGGGGAGAATGAAGGTGAGTGAACTCACGTACACTGCCCTGCTCCCATGTTGCCAGCCTGCCCAAGAGCAAGGCTGCTGTATGTGTCCTTCCCCACCTAACTCCTGACCCCTCATATGTGTACAGTTGGTGCCTCTCTTCATTCCTGACACTGGCATATCTCATTTTAGACAACCAGCCAGATGCATCTGTGGGCTGTTTGTCCCACACAGATCTGGTACGAGTCATGCCCTCATCCAATGGGTGACCTGGAGCCAGGTTTCATACTCATAATCCTGTACCTAGGTTTCCTCATCTGTAAAAAGAGGATAACAAATAATTCCTATTTTGTGTATCATTACTGGAGTTAGATGAATGACTATGTGTAATGTGTTGGGAACAGTGCTTGGCCCACGTTAAGTGCCATGTCCTTTGTTGCTGCTCCTGCGATCACTGTTACTATTGTCCTCTTTATCCTTACTGCTGTTGTAATTATTCCTGATACTCCAGGATTATGATTTGTATCCAGCATCCTAAGGGAAGAAAGGGGGTTTGTGTTTAGTGAGATTGAGTATGTTTACCTGGGGAATCAGGTGATCTGATATAATCCCTTTGACTCTTACAGTAAGATTTTTTAAAAGGCCTGTGTTTGTAACGAGGCCCACTTGTATGTGGTGCATATATGTTCAATAAGCAGAATCATTCCTCTTTTTGCCCTTGGGAATGATTCTGGCTAATTTTCTACCTCCCTCTTGTTTAGAAGCTAAAACCTTGAACTGAAGAGCATTTCCTCTGGGATTAAGCAAACTTGAACTGTCCAGTTGCTTGTGTCATGGGCCAGGCTCACGGCCATACAGGTGGGGTCTTTGGCCGTGGCCCTGGGCATGGGAGCTGGGGAGAGATGAGGAGGAGTTTGATACTTGGTAGAAGTGGGCCAGGGGCTTTGCTCACTGGAGGGAAGGTCCAGCCATACTTCCTGGAGTGAACTCAGTCTCTTCTCAGCATCCTGGGTGTGGTTTGCTATGGATGTGGGGAGAACTTCCCATGAGCCATTCTCCTGGGCTTGCAGGGGCTGCTCTGAAGCCACCTCTACCCAGCCAGCCCTGTCAGCAGGGACTGTGTGAGCTCCCAGGCCACGACATCTAAAGCTGTAACAGAGCCACTCACTGGATCAGTGAGCGGGAACTCATTCGCCTTTGGGAGTTGCCTGCAATTCTGCAGCCAGAACATGCCTCCACCCCCACCCCGCTAGCCCCATCATGATTTTCTTGGCATTTATCAGTGAATACAACGATCATATTTTGGTAAGTATAATCAAAATGTCTCTCTGGCGCCAACTGGTCCTCTTTTTTTTTTTTTTTTTTTAATTAAATCACAGCTGTGTACATTAATGCAATCATGGGGTGCAGTGTGGTGTTTTCATATACAATTTGAAATATTTTCATCAAACTGGTTAACATAACCTTCATGTCATTTTCTTAGTTATTGTGTTAAGACAATATCTAAGATGTTTGTATTCTACTTTTTTTTAGAAAGATTCACTTGTACCCTTGTAAGATAAACCATAGAGGTGATCCCTCCAATCACCCTCCTTCCTCTCCTTTCCCCCTCTCCTTTCCCCCTCCCTTTTCCCCATGTTCTTAGGCTATAACTGGTCCTCTTTTTAAAGGCTGAGATCTCCAGCCTGCTTTCATTTCTGTTCAGTGTGCATAGTGAACATTTTGGTTTAGGAATTCTTTTTTGGCCTGGGAAACTTTTGCCAACAAATATCACTTTGGTGGGGAAATAAGGAGAAAACTCAAGGTAGGCCATACCTACTTGGTTATTTGGGTGATTTCAATTTTTTCTTGTAGTTGTTAATACATAGAAAATGGTCTACCTAAACCTAGGCCTAGCTGTCTTATAGCCACACTGGGGAAAAATGGACATCTTTGCCTCATTTTGTACACTGTGTTCTTTCAATTTTGTTTTGGAAAGATGCTACCTCTTTTGTTCCAGTCCTTTTAAGGGATGCTCTCTAACAAGGCCTTAGTCATGACTAACAATGATGTGGACAGGGAAGGCTTGGGCCCGAAATCACAATCAAATTAGTCAGCTGGGTGGCCCAGTCCCAGAGTATGAGGGCTTCAGGTCAGCTTAGGAAGGCCGCCATTTCAGCTTGGGCTGTTTGTAGTGGAGTGGAGGCTCCTGGACACTGAGCCCAGGTGTCCTGTGCAGGGCATGGGGGAGGAATTGTCATCAGCCAGCAAAAGCATGGTTCCCAGGGACTTACTCAGCCTGATTGTGCCAGATAGGACCCAGGAATCTCCCCAGAAACCTTGCTGAGACAGTTGGTAACTTCAGAGCTTGGTGGCTCTTCAGTGACCGTCTTGGCAGTTTTGGTGCCCTCCTAATTTGAATATATTAATCATTTTAGGTATGATGGGCCTGCCATCTTCCTACTTGGCTCACTGTAAAGAAATAAACTTTTGAGCCCAGGGCTGGCTAGGCAAGCAGGCTGGCAGCTGGGTGGGCGGTGGCAGTAGCCTCTGAGCACTAGAGGGGGCTCGGGTCTGAGTCCACGTCAGTGCCGGCCACGGAGACTACACCATGGGCATTTAAAAAAAGGAAATAAACTTTCATGGACCAGTCCTGCTAGACAATAGCAGTTGTATTTTGGAGCTTTTTGAATTGTATATTTCTCTTTTAATTAGTCTCACATTTGAAGGTATGGTTGGTGTGTGTTTTCTCCCTAGATTATGTCTGTGTTATCTTTATTTTAAATTGTGCAGCAGTTAATTCTTGTGAATTGGAAGGACATTGGCACATTTTCTCATTCATGTTGTAAACCATGGAAATAGTGCAGATGGTGTCTGTCTTAGCATCCAGGTTTATTATATGCCTCGGATGGTTGGTTAATGGTGTCCTTACATGCTGGACCTCTTTTTCCCCATCTGGAAACTATGATTATAGAAAATATAATTCACATGATGACTTTTTTTTTTTTTAATGAAGGTGCATTGGTTGCTCTTGTGGTCACAAGATTTAGAAATTCAACTCAGAGTGGCTTAAGCAAAAAGTGTCCTTATTGTTTATGTTCTTGAGAAGCTTGGATGGGAGAGGGCCCAGGTACAACTATAGGCTTGCATCCTGCCAGCTTAGCCACCCAGTGGAGAGGAAATCTGTCCTTACCAGTGGCTGCAGCTGAACCACTGGGGCTGATGCATGTGGAACCTGTGGGCCTGGCTTCGGTCCTCTCCCCATCCCCACCCCCCAGAGACATCCTAGCCTGAGTGATGAGTCTACCCCATGGTGGCTTCCTCATAAAACATGAGGTGTGTTTATCTGAAGTGGGGGCATGGATGCTGAGGCCACAGAGATAACAGATTCTCCCCCAGAAAGCCACACTGTTTCTGGGTATTCCCCATCTCACTCAGGCCCATCTTCTCCCTTCCTAATTTGAGGTAGACATGTGGCTGTTTTCTTCTTCATATTATTTTTTCTCTAGCAAGAGCCTTTTGGTATCCCTAAATCTAGAGGCTTGTTAACAGCCTATTTGTAACAAACAGACACAGGTACCTCTTAAGGAAAGAAATGCTGGCACTGGTTCCTTGCTGCATAACCTGCCACCCACATTTTAGTAGTGAAATCTTTACTTAAAAAGATGGGCAAGACACAGGCATAAAAATGACAGGTGGTCACAAGGCACAGTTTTGCTGTGACCTGATTTGAATGTGGCATTAATGTTTTTTTTTTTTTTTACAAATGCACCCAGAATTCACACCTCCTCCACAGTGAAGCCCAGACGAGGAAACTGTGTGAGATGAATGTGCACCCAGACCCTCCACACCCATCCCCAGTTTGCAACAAAATTTGCTCTGCCTTGGGTCCCAAGTGATAAGCGACTCATTCTGAAACCAAGAAATCACAGGACCCCTAATTTTTAGAAATTAAATATCAAAAGGAAGAGGAGGGATGGTGTTGTCCCTGTAGTGAAACAAGCGTTCACTCTGCCCAGGAAGCCTCAGCGTGCTCATTTCTTAGCTTGCCCTTCAGTCATGTCTTTTTGTATTTACTTAGAGCAGTAACTTAGTAAGTAGATCTAAGACAAGAGATTGAATTGTTTGAACTCTTTGAAAAATAGGGCTAGACTATTACTTTTTGCCTATGGAAAAAAGCATTAATTGTACAGCCTGACCTTCAAAGCCTGCTCCTTTCTTGGAATTCCAGCAAGGGCATGTAGTGGAAGCAACAGGACTGACATTGAACCTGCCAGGCAGGTTAACTGGGATTTGAGGAGTGCCTGGGAGTTGAGAGTCCCAGCATTGCTGCGTTTTTTGTTTTTTTTTTTTTAATCTTTTTTGAAATGAAATGTAACCTGGCCTCATTTCCAGCTCTTATAATAACACCAAAGCCAGACCCATGCATGGCAATGTTCTGACTGGAGCAAACCAGAGCCTGACTGGAGATTGGACCTGAATCCCAGTCGCAGCTATGTGGCTCTGGGGAATTCATTGTCCTCTCTGTAGAGTAAGAGTCCAAATGCCCAACCCTCAGGATATTACAAGTGAGGACGTCAATGCTACTGTGTTCAGCATGTCACATGAGAGCATAGAATGGGAACCCTGGAAGGTGGAGGAGGGTAAGAGTAAGGCATGGGGTGGGGTAGATTGTGCTTGGGCACCCTGTCAAGTTTCTAGGGGGCCCATTCTCTGTTAATTCCTATAATACATAAATGTGTGAGTGTATGAAATCATGGAAAGAGAGGGAGGAGAATAATTGGCAGGCTCAGTTACTGTAGAGAGATGTGGGGCTGCCAGCTTTTCAAATGGGCTTAACTAGGATACAGAGGAAGATTGAAGGTGAATTAGGACAAATCCTCTGAAGAGGAACTTCTTGGAATACCATTCTGAATTCAGTCTCCTGCTGTCCAGTAGACGATAATAAAAAACAAAGGAAGGGGCACTCCCAATACTCAGTGCACATACTCTCTGTCATTGCCAGGGGCAGTTCACTTCTTGAAATTTGGCTCCAAAGCCAGCCAATAGCATGCAGCC